TTCATAACCGGATTTGTATTCCTGATGATGCTGAGATGAAGAAAGTGATACTTGAAGAGAGTCATAGAAGTAAGTTGAGTATTCATCCAGGAGCTACAAAAATGTATCAAGATTTGAAAGGTTTGTTTTGGTGGCCTGGATGAAGAGTGAGGTGGCTCGGTTTATGTATGCATGTTTAACTTATCAGAAGTCGAAAGTTGAACATCAGAAACCTGCAGGGTTGATGCAAATGTTAGAAGTTCCAGAAAGGAAATGGGATAGAATTTCAATGGACTTTGTGACAGGGTTACCTAATACTTTAAGAGGGCATGATTCGATTTGGGTGATTGTTGATAGGCTTACGAAGTCGGCTCATTTTATTCCTATCAACATCAGTTTTCTAGTGTCGAAGTTGGATGAGATTTACACTAGTGTGATTGTGAAGTTGCATGGTGTTCCTTTATGCATTGTGTCAGATAGAGTTCCAAGATTTACTTCTGATTTTTGGAAGAGTTTGCAAGAAGCGTTGGGTTCTAAGTTGAGGTTGAGTTCAGTGTATCATCCTCAGACAGATGGTCATACTGAACGGACTATTCAATCGTTGGGAGACTTGTTGAGGGCATGTGTTCTTGAGCAGGGAGATTTGTGGGATACTTATCTTCCGTTGATAGAGTTCACCTATAATAATACTTATCTTCCGAAGATGTAGAACTCCTTTATGTTGGCATGAATCTGGTGAAAGTGTAGTACTTGGGCCTGAGCTTATTCGCGAGACTACTGAGAAGGTGAAGTTGCTTCGAGAAAAGATGAGAGCTTCCCAAAGTAGACAGAAGAGTTATCATGATAAGCGAAGAAAATATTTAAAATTTCAAGCGGGTGACCATGTGTTTTTGAGAGTTACACCTGTGACTGGTGTTGGACGAGCATTGAAGTCTAAGAAGCCCACTTCTCATTTTATTGGACCATATCAGATTTCAGAGAGAGGGGAATGTTGCTTATAGAATGGCTTTACCGCCTAATTTTTTGAATTTGCATGATGTGTTTCATGTGTCGCAACTTTGGAAGTATATTTCAGATCCATCTCATGTGATTCATATGGATGATGTGCAAGTACGGGATAATCTTACGGTGGAGACGATGCATGTACGGATCACGGATCGTGAAATAAAGACTCTAAAGGGCAAAGAGATTGCTTTGGTTAAAGTGGTTTGGCTAGGAGCTGCTGGAGAAAGCATGACTTGGGAGTTGGAGAGCAAGATGCGAGACTCCTATCCTGAGTTGTTTGATTAAAGTAAATTTTCAAGGACGAAAATATTCTAAGTGGGGGAGAGTTGTAACGCCCGTAATTTAATTAATTATTTAATTAAAATATTCTTGGAATATTTGTGAAGTTGTATTGTGATTAGTTGGATTTAATTATTTTATTAAGTGGTGGAATAACATTAGAATGATAATATTATTTAATGTGGACTTGTTTTAAAGGAATAGAAGTAGTAAGAAGGGGGTGTAGTAGTCTTAAGCCCATTAAGGAATAAAGAGAATAATAGGGTTATTTTATTATTGTTAGAAATAATAGGAGAATGAAGAAGCAGTAAGAAGAATAAGGGTTGGAAGAAGAGAACGTGAAAGCTGTTGGAAAGGAGGAAAGAGACAGAACGAAAATTCAACCGGAAAAGTTATAGAGCAACCTTCAATCCAAGGTAAGGGTGGGATTCTGGCTTTATAATAGGGTTTATGATGATTGGTATATGGGATTAGATGTGGAATTGTTATCTTGTTCATGATTTGAATGTATATGATGTTGTATGATGAAAATCGATGATTGAAAGATGAATAATGATGTCCCAATGTTGTATATTCGATGTAGAATTATAGGATAATTGTAATTGATGATTATCCATGATTAGAGGATGTTTTTAGGACCTAAAGTATGGAAACCGTAGTGAAAACGCAGTGAAGTCACATAAAATATCCATGACAGAACAATATGTATCGACCCCAAACATTATGTGTCGATACAAGAAGGCCTTTAGACTCAGGATGAGTCGATAAGAAGGGGTCCTGCATCGATACATGAGGGCTTTTAGACTCAGGATGAGTCGATACGTAGGAGCATGTGTCGATACATGCAGTGTTGCGGACTCAGTATGAGTCGATACAAGAGAGTATGCATCGACTCATGCAGTGTGTTAAGTCCAGTACGCTTTGACCTAAGGTATTATGCGTCTATCCATGTTGTCTGGTTTTTGACAGAATCGTTTGGAAAAGACTGTAACTTGAGTTTTCGGACTCCGTTTGAGGTGCCATAAGAAGCGTTGAATAGCTAATGCGATGAACTTTATTCTTAAGGATTAAAGTGAAGAATAGGAAGGATAATCCTAGTTACCAAATTTGGACTAGAGTTAGTTTCCGCGTTAATCGCTATGTTGGTTTTTGTGAAGAATGATGAGGATGAGATGATTATAGATTGTTGTTTGATTTGTAACAGTAGGATTAATGATGATAATGATGTAGTATTACAAAATAGTAATATGTAGAGGTTTGGTAATTTAGAAGTAAGCCTTAGATGATTAATTAATTATAGACAATATCATGTTGTAGGCCTATGACCAACGTTGCGAGATTTACGGTCTGTTGCTGTATTATTGTATGGCTGAGTTGTTGACGATAAAGGATGTTTGATGAATTATGATGTATAAATGATGTTTGACGAATTATGATGATAAATGATGTTGATGAGTGATGTTGATGAAAGATGTTGAGATGCCTCTAATAATTGGTAGCTATTAAGATGTAGACTTATGGCCAACGATGATGTTATGTTGAGATGATGTTAATTATGGTGTTGTAATTACATTCATGATTGTGTCGCATACATTGCATTTCAAGATGGAGCTTATGCTCGTTAAGATGGCCTGTATTGGCGAATATTAAGATGAAAGCTTATGCCTTGTTGATGCCTCTATTTATTGGCAGATTTTTAAGATGAGAGTCATGCTCCAATGGTACCACATGCATTTGCATAGTATTGAGTTGCATTATATGATTGCATAACGAAGTTGTGAACTGATGTGATGAATGTGTATTATAGTTGGTATTTCCATTGCAATTATTGTTGATTATGAGATGAGAAGTGGTGATGTTATGTGATCTAATTTAATATATTAATTATCATACGTTTTATTATATTGTTAGATATCTCACCCTTTGTGTTTGAATGTTACCCTTGCGTTGGTAACGTGCAGGTAATCGAGAGTGAAGGCAGTATACCTTCAGTAGTTCGAGTCAGTGTCATTGCTCTGATATGTAACACTCGGGGGGATGAACGCTTGTTGCTTTTAATTGTTGATTATTTCAGTTGTTGAACTTTAATTTGATTATTGCTAGTATGTGTTGTTTTGAAGTTGCTGTAACGATGGATAAAGATGTTATTAAGAATTCCGCTGTGTAGATGTTTAAATTGTTGAATTAAGAGATTGAAGTATTATGCTGATGGTTCATCCGAAGTTTTAAAGTGTTACGTATCCACGATGAATGCAATGTGTTTTTAAAGATCAATTTGTGGCATCCTGATTTGTTTGCATGAATGTTTATAACTCTGATTTTGCAATTATAATTATCGGGTAGAATTAGGGTGTTACAACTAGCATGGGGAAACGCACTAGAAGTTCCATACAAAAGTTATCCATCACAAGAAAGACATTTAATGCGTCTAGTCCAAACGTTGGTGACGTCCCATCAAGAATCTTCCCTTGCTCATGTCAACATCCAGTCTAGGGGGGTACGCGGAAAATCCTCATCCTACAAAGCAGAAACAAAAGTTTAGAGGTAACTATTCTTGGCCATCCACATGGCCTATAACGAAAGGGCCAAAAGTGACATTACGTGAAGAAGTAACTATTTCTCTCTTCAGACACAACAATCATCGTCTGATTAGAACCAACGATCGTCTCCATTGCGTGTCTTTTTTCACGCAGATGATTTTAATCTTACATTATATAAGAGAAAAAATATATCATTTCAAATATTCAAATTCATTTTCATTTTCACTTCACTCTTCACTTTTTTAATGACTTAAACACTTAATTGATAACCTTCCATATCAGCAACACATTTCTACGTAACGGAAAAACTTACCTCTCTAATCAAGGATCTCATCTCACATATATGTAAACATACTTATTCTCATACCATAAAACCAAATTCATAAATATGAAGCACAAATTATGAAAAAAATCTGATATTTTCAATTTATTCAAATTAATAAGCACCCATAAATTACATTTTATCTTTTTGATCCGCATTGAAACTTATCATCTAGTCACCAATAAAATTACATTTTATCTTTTTGATCCGCATTGAAACTTATCATCTAGTCACCAATGAGACATCATCTTTTTCATCAAGACATAACTAACTCCCAGATAGACAACTCCGTAAATTGAATAACAACTTCTTTGTTAGGAGAATCATGTGGCTACCCTCCGAAATACCATGCTCATCATTTAACTACATCTAAAATTTTTTTAGATCCAAAGATAAAATAGAAAACAAGACTGGAATGAAACTACACATCCTAATAAATGTTAAAGTAACTAATTTGATTAGGAGGGAGTAAATAAAACAAAATTAAATATGATGGTGATAGCTTGTTATGGGAAGACCTAATAATCTCCAAAAATAAATATATACAATGATATCTCCGTGCATTGCGCGTTTTTTCTTCACATGGGCCAACTTGGAGTGGCCATACCCAAGGCAACGTCTCTTCCTCTCATCATCTCTCTATCAAATTAAAAATACCAATTTACTCTCTTTCTCTTTGCCTCTTACTCTCTCAAACTTTCAAAATTTCCTCCTATATGAATAACAACTAATCTCACACACAGACAAAGACACAACAAAAAACCAAACTCCTATTTTTGTTCTTGTCATCTGTTCAACCAACCCCATCCTATAGTAAATACCCATTTATTCATCTTATACAAATACTCCATTTTTATGTGGCTTCTTCTCCTAGTATGTGGATTATTTGCAGCAGAAAATTCCTCTACTTCTCTGTGGTGGTGTTTATGGTTGTCATCATGTGGATGATATGCTGTCAAGTTGGAGCCATTCGTGTGTTCCCATCAAATGGTGTTGTTGCCAAAGTAAAATTCAGCCATAGCATTATGGATAAGAAAGGTAAGGAGGATTTCTTTCATAAGTACTTCAATGGAAAAAGTAGTAGCAAGCAGTTTGATGAAAGCAAAAGAAAAGTGCCAAGTTGTCCAGATCCTCTCCACAATTAACTAGTATAGTAAATTTCTCATTTTCAATAATTTTCCAATTTTAGGTTTTTTTTTATTTTTAATATTATGTATGTAATTTAGTTGAAGCTCAAACCAAAATACCTGCGTTTTTCTTAGCATTTCTTGTCAGATACTATGTCTGGATAGGTAGATTATGATGGAAAACCGAGGGTATTTTGGTAAATATAAATATAGAGAAGTTTTTTATTTTTAATTTCTCATATATGTACAAAGTGATCATTGTTATGAGCAAGGACTTAAATTGAAATTATGTTCCTGTCTAAATCAAAATTGAACCCCTTGCATTTCGGGTTTTCATACGTTCACATGCTGTTAAAATGATATTATCCGTTTGATTTTGATGGCACGATTCACAAAAAAAAGTTTTTTTCTTCAAATTACTTCTTTTAAATTAGATTCCTTTAAACATAAAATATGCTTCAATGTGTGAATGCAATATTTTTTTTACTACAGCAAATTTGAATCTGTCTAAATGCGTGTCTCTTGGATAAATTTGAATATTTTAGATTTATTTTATCACTAATGAAATTTATTAATATATAAATTAAATATATTAATTATTGAATGAATTTAAAAAATTTAAACATATTATAATATGATAGGCTTCACCAATATTATCAGACCTACGTATTTCTGATTTAGTGTTTTCTATTATTTGTTTTTATTTTTGTCTTTTGGGATATAAGTATGCATTCCAGATATTTGATAAAAAACCTTCAAAAAAATTGAGTCTTGGAACAATTCTATCTCTAGTCATCAATTAATCTTTTAACATTTTATAAAAATAGATAATTTCGAGACTAAAGTTAGTCGAAATGGCCAAACACAAATGAAAAAAATCATTTTTAATTGGATTTCAAAAAAGACAATGGATTATCATTTATATATTGGTGTGTTCTTAAGAAAGTGGATGAATGGATGATATGTGATTGTTTCTGAATCGATGATGTCTTTTTAGCTTGTTATCAAACTATGTTTAATGTCTTTTATGTCTAGGTAATTATGTTACTTTTAGAGATATTACGAGACTATGGATAGAGTATCTCCTATATCATATGTCTCTTGATCTTTGTAATATCAACTTATTTTTTATTTAATTGAATGATGTTTTCAATCCAAAAAAAAAATATTATCAAAATGTCTTTTATTTTTTCATTGGATATTATTCAAGAACACTTCAATAAAATGATAAAAGTTTCTTTCAATTTAATTAGAGATTATGGATTCGATCACGGTCATAAAGTCTTCAACATGTAGTCACTACAAGAAAGTTTGTTATTACTCATGATTGCAAGCCCTATGTAATAGGAAAAAAGTCGTGTATAATAATAATATATTATCCAATATTTACCGTGAGACAAAAGTCCCTCAATAAAATCCTCCTTACTAACAATTTTTGACGCCAAGAAAACCGCGGCTAAGCACATAGTATTTTGTAGTTAATCATAAATTCATAATTCATACAGTAAAATATTGGTCTTATATTTTTCACGGCTAAGCTTTCGTTAATGCTAGGAGTGTTAATTTTTTTAATGAGATATTTATCATCTATTGTAATCTTATCTTATAGGAGAGATTAATCTATATATTTGCGCTAAAAAAAACTTGATTTATAAAAAAAAGTTAAAAGTAATGTTGTAAATGTACTAAATTGCACTTAATAATGATGATAATTAATATCATTTTCACATAAGTTGTGTTTTTATAATGTGAGAATTTAATCACTAGGGGTGTAATTAGATTAGAAAAAATCAATTAAATCGATAATTAATACAGACTAAACCAAATCGAAATAAAATAGATGGTTTCTAGTTTGATTTTAAAACCAAACCGAATCAACGCAAATCAATGTGATTTGGTTTGGTTATTGATTTTAGTTTTTAGGAACCGCCCTACCGATAATGTGAATCAATGGATATAATTACGCTCTAAATATTTTATTCCATTCATCATTAAATTCAAATTTTGTTTCGGTCCAAGCATTCTTCATCTTTGTTTACCATTCTTTCCTTTCATCAAAACATGCATCTAGAACAAAACTCCAAAACATATAAAATAGAAATCATAAGTCACAAAAATTTACTTTCACTAAACTGCTGCTCTCGCTGGCCGCCACAACTGTTTCTCTCTACTGTCGTTCTAATATGTTATGATTGTCTTCTTCGTGTTCAAGTTCTCTTCATTAATTTTCATTTTTTTTAATCATTTTTGTTTCTTCTTCTTCAACAAAATTCCTAAGTCTTATTCCAAAATAGTTTTAATGTGTGTTTGTGGTGTGAAACATATTAATTGATGTGTATTTTGTTGTATTATATTTGTTAAGTTTTCAAATCACTTCTCAACCTTCTTATGCTAAGCGTCAACTTTTATATTTGATAGTGAATTTATTTCATGATACAATGGAAATCATGTGACTATTTCGTATGGATTAAGAACAACTTGTAATTCGTTTTAAAAAATAGAGCATGAAATAAATTCTAAGAAATATATTATTTTAAAAAATAATAACATAAAATATACTAAAAAACATAATAGTGAAAAATATACTGATGAATATAATATTTGAAAAAAAGTTTGTAAACCGATTAGTTTAGTTCGATTTTATTTTTAAAAAATATTAAAGATTGAACAAAATCAAACCGATGAAGATATCATCGATTCAAACTTTTTTGACCAAAAATTGGTCCAAACGAACCGATTATCCCCTATGAATCACAATATTATTTTTGTTATTTATTCAAACTCAGTCTTGAGTGTACACTAATGTTAAATCTCCTGAAAGAAATTTTTACATTATATTATAATTTTTTTACTCAAGAGACTAGTTTCAGATGTATGTAAAAAATATTCAATTTATAAAAAAAAAATATTGAGAGCAATGTGGCAATACTAATTGTGGTTGGCTCTGTGGTAATTTTTTTTTTAATTTTTAAAACAATTGATTTTGTAGAATTAATTTTAGTTAAAATTGAGTTTTAAATAAAGTAATTTATGTTTAATATATTCAAAACAAAAATGATTTATATGAAAAATGTTTTTATTAAAATTGTTTTTGAATGTGTAAATGATGAAAAGACAAAAAAAAATATGAGAGTTATTGATGTTGTTGAATTTAAAGAAAAAAAGAAAAATTGATGCGGGAGAATTGATTCTTAAAATTAGTTTCAAGACATTAAGAATTATAGCTTCATAAAATATCAATCGTGAACTATAAAAAATACGGTAACTGTAAATTGTTTGAGAAGGCCAAACACTCCATAATTAATTTTAAGGATTGAAAATTGTTTTTGATGCGGGGCAACCAAACATAGGCTAAGTCAAACTTAATAATGATGATAAAAAGAAAAGAAAATTCACTCTACAGTTATGAAATTTATTTTCAAGCAATCTCATATTCCACATGAATACATCATTCAATCGTATAAAAAACTACAAATATCAAATCTTTATTTTAAGGGATCAGTACAATATTGGAGTTTGTGTTTTTACTTTGCTTCAATTAAACTATGCTGCTATAGTACAATAGGAGTTGCATCCATGAATTTTATATTTTGTCATATTAATATTTTTGGATGGCTGAAATAGGAAAACTACAAAAAACTGACAGATATAATGTGACAAAAAAAGCATGAATCCATGCCTTTTCAACTCGACCTAGCTATGACTGTTTCAAAGCAATTATTTTTTCCTTCTTTGGGAAAATCCAGATATAATACAACTTTGTTTGCTTCACTGTCGATTGACAATAATTTGATTGCACATCAAAAGTGGTAGTAAGAGACCATCTTCCTTTATGGTGAACAGTATATAATGTATTTGTATGGGTGAACATCTTATTACTTTTGCTTGAATTTCGTCAATTTTTTCATTTTATCTTTATTTATTTAATATCTCACGTGTTTTCTTTCACTTTTTATGCCATTTGGAGTATTTCTTTTCTTTTTATTTTTTAAAATAAAGATTAAAGTGTAAGAACATCACATGAAACTAATGACATTTTAACTATATTGACATCTCAAAATTCTACTGATTATTTGCACCACTCAAATGAATCTATGATTTATAATGGTTGTCTCATTAAAACTTTTATTGGATAACCAGCGGATAAAGTCAAGGTGAAGTTAAAAAAAACTGTATTGCAAGAATATAAAAGTAAGCTCATAAAAGTACACACTCAATAATAATGAGTAAAATTCAAAATCTCACAAAATTAATAAACCTCCATTCTCATAACTCTAACTCTATAATATAAGAAACTCTAACTCTATAATATAAGAAAAATGTATCTATCCAAAAATCTTATTTTATCCTCTTGCTTCAAAATCACATAACGTGGTTAGCCTATTTGAGGTTCCAATTTGATATGTTCCAATTTAATATATTTCAATTTGTTATATTCTTCTACGATTTTCTGCCATAACTTCTCTCTCCACCTTCCTTTAACCTCTCTCTCTCTCCAACTTCCCCTATTCATTATCTGTTTTATAATTGTTTCCATAATCAATGTGTTAATTTCAAACGACTGTCTAGTGGAAAGGATGCATCCGCGATGGGTCCAGAGGTATGGAGATTTACAGACCAACCCTAATTTCCTTTCTCTTTCACATCTGAACATCTCATCCGTCATCTTCATCTCTTCAAATTGCAAACACCTCTATCACTTTCTCAAGGTTTGTTTATATTCCCCTATCTCAATTTCACCCCCAATTTTCTGTTTCACGAACAAGGGTTTTTCAATTTCGTTTTGGGTAATATTTTTGCTTTTTCGATTAGATTATCGTAGATTTTAGAAGATTATAACATATTTGTGTTCGAGATTAAATGGATTGTTTTGTTTGGTACGTTAATTATTTCCACGATCATAAAGTTTGGTTTTTAATGAGTATATGAATTGCGAAGTGATAGTTCCAAGAATGAAGTATGCCTTTGATAAGAACATACTTAAAGTCTTTGGGATGGATCAACACATATCATAAACA